CTATTTCTTTTTCTCGGCGAAAGAAGTGAAAGGAGATCGCGTTGCACGCCGAGAAAAAGCCAGCCAACGAAACAAATATAAAGCGCGAGATATGTATTAACGCTCGGCAGTTTCTTCGCAAAAGCTGTGCACCCGCGCCGAGATGGCGAGAGCGCCCGGCCAGAGAGCCCGAGCGGGAGAAAAATATCGCATGAATCATTTATCAGTCTGGCTGCGTCTGGCCGTACGTCCTACGTACTTGTAGCTAGCTGGCGGGTCCTTGGCCTCCTCGCTCCACCGCCAAGAAATTGCTTTCTCACCCCTCGTGAAACTGCTCTCTGGCCGTCTTCGGCCGCGTTTCCTCGCGACCAAGGTCACCATACTCGCAAACGGTATCTCGAGGATCTTTGACTTTTGACTTCGACGGGTATTTGAGAAGCGGCCGGTCGCGCGTTTCTCCGCTCGTCATTGGGAGGAATAAAATTTTTAATCCTTTGGCCACTCTTCGACTCGCCACTGCGCTTTAAATCTTGCGCGGGGAACGCAAGCTACACGCGTTGTGAATTTTTTGTTCTGAAATTGCAATATTTTCCTCAGTTTTAAATATATTTAACAGTATGATAGTATACTATACTACAGTATAATATATTATAGTGTACTATATAGTAATAGTATAATAGTATAGTATACTATATTAGTAATATTGTATATATATACTATACTAGTGTAGTATACTATAATCGTGATATAGTATATAGTATATATAGTAATAGCATAATAGTATACTATAGTAGTGATATAGTATATATATATAGTAATAGTATAATAGTATAGTATACTATATAGTAGTAGTATAATATATTGTAGCATATAATTATGGCATACTATAATATTAATATAGTATACATATAGTATTCTATATAGTAATAGTGTAATAGTATAGTATATCGTAATAGTAATATAATATATACTTATATAGTATACTATAAGTATACTTATATAGTAACAGTATAATATATTATATTATAATATTATGGCATATTATAATAGTAATATAGTATACCATAATATTATAATAATAGTATACCATAGTATACACAATATATATATATATAGTATTCTATATAATAATGGTATAATAATATAATACCATAGTATACAGAGACAAAACAAATAATAAACTCATCACTTTTCAATAATTTCTATCCCAAGTGATGTACCGACGAGTACAAGATGAAAGCGACGAATTATTCTATACGGTTATTATTGGTCGCTCGTTATGGTTCGCAAATGGCAGTTGCCGGCGCAAGTGGTTAAAAGAGACGAAAAAGAAACAGAAAAGACGAAGAAAGCGAGGGTGAAAAAGTCGAGCGGCGCCAAAGTCCAAATGTTCATTTACGCGACGTCGACGAACCGTCGATCGATTCCACGCAGATCTTACCGATCGAGGAAGATCGTTGCACGGACGATAGATGGACGAAATCTCTCTCGATCGTCGGTGGAAAAAGAGGAGGAGGAGGGAAAAAAAGCTGGCGGCGGATATATGCCGGACGATAGCCGCGCGAGTGGAAATCGTCGGTGCGTGTTCGCCCCCCGTGTCTAGATGGAGAAGAAAGCAACGGGGTGAATCCCGGATACGGAATCGAAGCATCCCGGCACCGGTAGCGACGCTTTATTGCGATTTTTATATTTCATTCCGTTGGGGTCCAGCCCGATCAAAAGCACTCTGCAGTATGCATGCTGGTGGCCGAAAGGGAGGGCGGGGGGAGGGGGGGGGCGAACTCGGATCCACCTTTGGTACTTGGCTGCGCCGCCGAGAGACCAGAGGCAAAAGCGGGCAAGAGGATATTCGCCGGAGCGACCGAACGAGTGACAAAGATCGACTGTTTACGCGGCTGGCCGCGCCGGTGAGAGCTGCGCGGGGGGCGGCGGGGGGTGGGTTTGGAGCGGAAAAGAGGGTGAGAGGAGGCCGAGTGGGAGAAAGAGGACGAGAGGAAACACCAATTTTTCACCCTCGAATAAAATTATTATCGACGAATGAGTAAGTGGGTTGCAGGTTATCGGGTGGTGGTAGTAGTAGTAGTAGTAGTAGTGTAGTAGTCGTAGTGGTGGTAGGAGGAGGAGGAGGAGGAGGAGGAGGAGGAGGAGGACGGAGGGTGGAAGCGGGTCGGGAGCGTGACGGTGGAAGGGCCAGAGGGTGAGTGGGCGGCGGGGGGGGGGGAGAGGGGGAGGTGGAGGAGGAGGTTGGCTCGCGATGTATGGCGTTTGAAAAAGCTCGCGGCGGCGAAGGCGAAAGAAAGAGAGAGGGGACACGCGGCGGTTCCGCGGCGAGAGAGAGAGAGAGAAGGAGCGCGCGCGACCGGCTATTTTTAATATTTAAAATTTAATTTACAAAATGCCACTGGCTGCCCTCTTCCGCGTCCGAGGCTGCTCCCTCGCGCGCGCACGTACCCCGAACGCAATCGTTACGGTTTTCGCTCGCTCGTACGCTCGCACGCTCGCTTCACTCGACTCGGCTCCGACCCTGTTCGCTGTTTCGCGCTCAGCCCCTGCCGCGCGGCGGCCCCTCCGATTCTCCACGGCCCTTCCAGCCTCTTCCCTTTAAACCTCTTTTCGCTCTTTCGACACGCTGACATTCTTTTGTTCGTTGGTTGATTCGTTCGTTCGTTCGTTCGTTCGTTCGTTCTTCCGTTGACTTCTTGCCGTCGATCAACCATGAGAAACGGAGAGACGGGGCTAGAAAAAAATCTGGAGCGACGACGACGGGAAATCCGATTGTCGGCGATCGAGCTTTCGATCGTTCGTCACGAGAGGAAGGATCGTGGGCGAGATTCGGTGGCCAGAGAGCAGCAAACGCGTATAATCGGTTGGTCGGTCGGTCGTTTGTGCCACCCCTCGACTCGCGCTCGTCCTCGAAGAAGGGCCGGAGGGCGATTATTCGCGCGCAACATCGGTGTCATTGTTATCGCGGTTGCCGTTGTCCCGGTCGTTGTTGCCATCTCACGCTATGACAATTCCACTTTAGCGCGCGTCTCTATCTTCTTCCTTCGTCTCATCCACCCTCCGCCTCCTCCTCCTCCTCCTCCTCCTCCTCCTTCTCCTTCTTCTCCTCCTCGCGCGTCGCGCCGTTCTGTTTACGGTGCTCGTCGCGAGGGAGATAGCAGGCGCCTCGACGAAACTTAAGCGGTCGTGTACCTTAGGTATATGCCGCGGCTTCGCGTGTACCTACATAATACGATGTAAGTTACGGCGCGCCATGTAACTTTGGCACTTTGGACAATAGCTGCATCTCTCTCTCTCTCTCTCTCTCTCTCTCTCTTCCTTCACCGTCTTTCCCGGCAACTTGCTCCTATACACACTCTTTGCCTCCGAGAGATACGAAACAAACGACCACAAAATACACGACGCGGTGTATCGCGCGCGCCTACAAAGTCCTTTCACCTAGCCTCGCGTTAAACGTTGATCCATCGCCCATCCATTTCTATTTCTCTCTCTCTCTCTCGAAAGATTTCCCAAAATTTCAAACGGCCCGTTTGTCGTCAACGTCAACGAACGAAATGTGAACTTTGACTTATCATCGTCGATAAATGTTGATCGGTACGTAACACGACTGTCCTTGGACAGTGGACAGAGAGAGACAGACAGACAGACAGACAGACAGACAGACAGACAGAGAGAGAGAGAAGAGAGAGACGGAGACGGTGATATATAATCGAGGTTTCGGGGGAAGCGGATCGCCGATCGAATCGATTGCCGATCTCCGGGAACGAGGCGGAGAGCGAGTGGCGAGTAGCAGCGAGTGGCACGCGGATAATTCGAACGTGTCGACGGTGCCGGCGGTGGCGGTTCGGCGGTGGTCAGAGGTGAGTCGTGAATCGCGGTGGCGGTGAGTTAGTCGCGTCAGGAGCATTGACGGTGGGTGGGTGGCAGGGATACGGATGGAAAGGGAAGCTGGTGGAAAGGGGGTGGACTGACCTGGCCTCAAACGAGCGACGTATCTCTAATCCAACGCCATAGAACTGACCGGTGCTATTTAGTCTGAATTGTATCGGATAAAGCGAGTACCGTGTAGCACCACCATAGTAACACCATGCCCTCTGTCGATCTCTCCTGCCCGTTGCTCCTCTCTCTGTAACTCTGCTCTGTTCGGTCTTTCTCCTCTCTCTCCTGCTCGCTCTCTCGCTCGCCCCCTGCCCCCTCTGTGATTCCCTATTTCGGTCGGTTGGCCGGATCCTCTCGCTCGCACTCGCCATTCTCGAATATACCCTTGTGCCGCGTCCCTCGGCCTCGCTCGGTCGTTCTCTCCGTTCTCTTCGACCGCCCTCACCCCCGTGGAATCAATTGCGGTCGCCATGACTACCGTAATGGAGATCCAGGACCAGGAGGGTGCCTTTTCCACGGGAGGTTGACCAAAGCGTATCCCGTAATGCCTACACGTCAGGACGAAATCAAAGACCGGGGATCCGACGCATCGTCGACCACCTCGATTCGTACCATCGCGAGACCACCCATCCACCCCGCTTACGCCGTGGCCTGGCCTCCCTCCCCCGCTGCCCCTTCTTCCCTTCATCCCTCGTTTCTCCTCTTATTGAGCTCGATCGCGCGGAAAGATCGCGCGTCGCTTCGCTTTTGACGCGGGAACCGGAACGAGCCGCCGAGAATAAACGAATAAATCCGTGTCGCTGGCTCGATCGCGACGATCCCAACGTACGTACGTACGTACGAGCGCCTCTCTGGTTAGATATATACGAACGGGGCAGATAAACGACAAAGATAAACGGGAAAAGAGGGCGGTGGGGGAGAACGAAACGAAAGAGCATTTAGCCAGAGCGCGCGGAGTACGGATCGACGGCGATGGCATGGCAGGCACAGGGTGGCGAGGTGGTGGTGCGCGCGCGAGTCGGCCATCGCCGCGTGTCCTGTCGACTC